GCAGCTGCTGGGGACTGAGGGCCGTGAGTTATTTGACGTATGCATGTGGGAGGTAGTGGGCAGATACTGCACCAGGTTGGCCAATCCTTCTCTGGTGAGGGAGTGCGTTCCCGGCGGTGGTTACCGGTGAGGCCGCACCCCAGGCCTCATAATGCAGTTCCATCACCACGCGGATTTTTTTTTATCTGGTTGGGAATTGCGCGGCACCGGGATTTGAACCACAGACCTTTTGCATGCGAGGCGGATGCTCTAACCATTACGCCATCGCTGCTTCTGGAGTGGGTATGCCCCACAGTTAACAGGTGACTCTAGACAATAAAAGAAAACAGGACAAGATTTTAGTGGGTTGGAGCATTGGACGACCTAGTCGTTATGAAATTCACATTGTGCGACGCCTGCTGTTCCTTTGATGTTCTAAAACGCTTTATTACTCATTTTAACGCGATTTCTTTCCCGATGTGAAGCCTGCCTAAGGCCAGTTTAGAAACGAGTGCCAAGCAGTGCATGAAGCACTGCAGTCATTCGGAAAGATTTACAGTGGAAACTTTGAGTGTGTCAGAGATGGAACAGATGCGTACCCTTAATCGAGATGTTGTATTGACACTCGCGGACGTATTCGGTGTCTCCGACATCCTGCATCTACTCTCAGTTTGCGGTCTACAGAGCCTCCTGCTCATTTCTTGCAGACCACCGTTAAGCCTGTGCTGCAACAGAGTAGGACACATTTGTTGTAACTGCTGGACACCGCGTTGTGAGGATTGTCAACGGTTCGAACACACGGCTCATGAATGTGTAGCGACGTATGCCAACAAACTACACCATCGCATACGACCACATGATGACGCCTTCCAAGAACACATTATGGATGCTACAGAAATCCTTGAAGCAACTTGTGACCTTCCATGTGCTGTAGTTGCTGATCCCTGTACTGCTGACAAAGACGAGGTTGATCACTGTGCTGTAGCGGAGACATCCAAACAAGCATCGTAACAAGATTGCGCGAAAAACAGCGCCGAAAAGCAGGCAGTCCCTGCATCTGGGAGGGCAGACACTCGCAAAGGAAGCCTTGGAAGCAGTGCTGATAATGAAGCACTAGATACGGAGATGACTGCTAAGGATGTGTGAGGATGCACCGACGCTTTCATAAGTAAAGGCCAAGCATTCCCAAACTCCGCGACAAGCGAGAAAACGGACTCGATTTCCTGTCATCAGTCACGCCATCGCAAGTCATCACAGCTTGCAGGAAAGTGTAGACGCTCAAGATAAAGGAGGCCGAGTACTGATGATGGTCGAATGCTGGCAAACTGCACAAAAATTATGAATATTTATGGCATGGTGGGTATTCAGCAGTGAGCTTGTAGCAGTTACCCAAAGAGTGTTTGGAAAAGGTTCTGTAAGGCCGCTTTTCAAGCTTTCCCTGCGACTGTGCTCTGCAGACCTGGCATTTTTTTGTAAATGCGATTGATGACGTCACGGGCAATGCTGGGGATACAGTGAAAGACCCAGTGCAGACAAAATTGTTCTTTTTATTTTATGGTGCACACACAGCTCATAGCGCTTCCACGTTTGGCATTGTTGATCGTGACTGCGTTCAGAACTGTGCACTTGGTGGAGAAGCTATAAACTATTGAAGGTTGTTTAGGGATCCCTTTAGAAATTAAAAAGTTTAGAAACCTTTTGCCCCACTTCCCTACAAGCACTTTAAACACTTTTTGTGTGCATTTTAACAAATAAAGTAAAGAAAGAGAAGCAGCAGAGAAGCTTATTATATATATATATATATATATATATATGTATATATATATATATGTATATATATATATATGTATATATATATGTATATATATATATATATATGTATATATATATATATATGTATATGTATATGTATATGTATATATGTATATGTATATATGTATATGTATATGTATATATGTATATATGTATATGTATATATGTATATATGTATATGTATATATGTATATATGTATATGTATATATGTATATGTATATGTATATATGTATATGTATATGTATATATGTGTATATGTATATGTATATATGTATATATGTATATGTATATGTATATATATGTATATGTATATATATATATGGTTAAGGGGGCAGTGACGTGTGTGTGCATGCATGAGTGCGTGTGCGTGCGTGCATGTATGTGTTGCGTATGTACAGGTCACCGCCTCCTTAACAATATCCACGCCATGCATTTTTGTCCGACTACGTTAGACTTGAACTAGTTTTGAGACCTCATATTGTTGAAAAGGTAAAATTTACAGTGTGCATATTAGTACAGCGGCATGCTATATTCAGCTTCTTCAACTGTAAACGTTCGGCGCAGGGCTACCCAGGATTTTTTCTTCTTGAGGGGGGAGGGAGGTGCAGGAGATCGACTAACTTGGGTAATTGGGGGTCGATGTGATTACGGTGAATACGTGCAAATATTTTAGTATACCCTAAAAAGTTAATTACGAAAACATTTCGTGGTGTAGGGGGTTCGGATTTCCTTCTTTTCCCTTCTGTACTTATGATCTCCCGGTTCTGCGTGTGTCTGACATGGTATTTTTTTTTTTTCATCTCGCAGCTTTCTGAGCACCGCTAATATCCAATAAATCGACTCTGTTATTCTTAATATTGTAGACGCCTGCTCAATGAAGAAAGAGTTGAGAGAAGAAATGAGAATAAGACACACCTTTTATAAATAATTTTCGATCTCTCACAAGGACTTTTATAAACCTCAAATTCAGTAGATTGGCATGTCATACATCAAGGGTTATGACATCATGTGCAAAACATGAATGACGGGCAGGTACAAAGAAATCATCAAAAAAGCGCACTGGAGAAGCCGAAGCGCATAGCAGTTTCTGTGCGCGGCTGTTTCAGTACTATTCGACTGCAGTGCTGCTTCTGTGGGCAACGCGGAAGGCATCAGGCAGCTAGGCGCGGTCACGCCACTCAACACTTCTAGTACACTCTAACAACAGCAACGACTGCATCTTCGCTGCTACCCTCTGCATCGAGAAAAGAGGACTCTCCGCGACAGCTTTTTTTTTTTCCTCTCCATGCGCGACCTTGAAAGAAGGGTCTCTACGTGCAGAGACTGAAAAGGGAGAAGCGTGGCACAAGCACGTTGCAGATTGGCGTTTGAGAAAGAGCAAACAATCTGCCACAGTCTTTTTCTTTCCTTTTCTTCTTTTCCTTCTTCGCACGCAGCGTTGAGAGGTGCCGCGGCGGGATTGGGCGTGGTGCTGAGAGCATTTTCGGGGTGCAGTATGTTCGAATTACCCGTTGCAAGTGCTTGCGCGTTCGAATTACAGGGCGTTTTCGCCCATTGGAATACACATAGCTTTGACGGGACCTCAGCGTGAGTTCGAATCAACCGAAAATTTGAATTTAGTGTGTTCAAATTATTGAGGTTCGACTGTCTATTTTCTGTCGCACGCGTGGTCGCGTAGTGGTACATCGGGTCGCGAGGCAGTTTCCTTCTTTGCATGCTTATAGGAATGCACCCATCTGAGCATACATTGCCACAAACTGTTATAATCGATATAACGAAAAAATGGATATATCAAATAAATTGTGGGTCCCCTTCAACTTCGTTATAATGAGATTTGAGTGTACCATATATATTCGAATTCGAATAAAAATTATTCAACCAAAATCGCTATTCGATTTGAATTTGCTTTAAACCTGGAATTTGCAATTCGCACAAGCCTTGTTCTTGGCTATTAATCTTTTACTGTATCGCTAATGGTCTGCCTTTCTTGTCTTTGTAAAGGGGCCCTGCAACACTCCTCTAGTATGGTCAGAAAACACTGCACATCAGTAGTCAAGGCTTCTGAGAGCATGCAAGTCAAACGTTATAGCGCAATATGTGGCCTCGAATGAACTAATAATTCTCGAAGTCTGCTAGAAATTGCTCCCTTTTCTCTCTACAAATGATACTGTATATCCAAAGTCCACGGCCGTTGATTCATTTGAGCATTGTGACCTGCATAGTTACTGTGACCGCTGCTGGATGCTGCCAAACGCCTGCACGTGCTCTCATCATAATACTGAAAGTAAGTCGCGCGTTTGAAGAAAACAGGAAAAGGAAGTGCTCAAGTTCATCACAAGCACCGATGAAAGGTCGCATCTTCTTGTCCCTTGTTGTCCCCCTCCTTACGTAGCTTTTAGTGCACTTGCTCGTACGAAAGGAGACGGAAAACACTTGTAACATGCGGCAAATCCCCGTAATTCCATTGGTATTTGAAGGATTCTAAAAATTTTTATGGAAGTTGGTTCCTGGGGCAATAAGCTTTTTTAATGAAGAATTTGGGCGATCACTTGGAAATGTCTTGAGAGGCCCCTGTAACCATGATGTGTGGGTTTGCGGAATTGCGGATTTCCACTGAATAGGTAGTTTCACAGTGTTCCAATGCCTAGAAGTTGCATTGAAACAATCTTTTCAAGCAGGTTACAGGTTGTAAAATACTTCTATTCATTTTTTATGGGTACTTAAAAATCTAGAAAATTTTCAATTATTGAATGGAATTCAAATACTGTAATATTTGTTTGAATAATTGAAGCGCTTGAATATTTTAACAGGCCTAGGCGGGGCTCTCTACAAGAGGAAAGCTTTTTGTAGTTCCTAATATGGAAAATTCAACCAGAGTTTAAAGTAACAGCGGAAACACACAAGATGCCACATCAAGAAAAGACGCAATACAAAGTGCTTGTGCATGTCATGCCTTTTCTTTGTGGGCGAGGGACGAGCGTCTCGAGTGCGTTTGCTGTAACCTCGAGATTATGTACCAACTTGGCGCTAGTAAAGTTTTAAGTGTTACTGAAAGAGCAGCGATGACAATAATGCAAGATTCCATGCAGATGCCATGCAAGTGCCACATATACAATGAAATTATATCAATGTCTACATTATTGATGTGATTGAGGGCCCCTGTTTGAGCACCCACTGAAGTGGCCTCACCATGAGCCAAAACTTTCAGGAGGAACGGCCACTAGTGACTCAGCAGGTTCCTGTGGCAGTGCCTTTGCCACAACCCAGTTCTAGAGGAGGCTCTCCCAAGCCAATGGTAAAACCACGCACCTTCTCACAGCACTCTGTAGGAGATGCAGTGGCACACCCTACTCTGATTCCACCTACGCTGCAGCCCACGGTCAGCTCCTATGCCCCAGGTCTGTGTAGTTTTTCTTCTTTCTTTTCATTTCAAGAGATTTCAGTGTTTCATGTATCTTTTGCTGCTCCTCACATTTGGTATTTAGCTAGAGAGCTCAGCCAACTTTCCTTGGCTTCATGCACGTATAAATGTAACCAGAAGCAATAGTTTACTATTTTTTCTGTAGTAGCCGCTGGTGTGCTATTGTACCACTGCAGCTAATCAGAATAGGAAGGGTTCAGTTTCACTGCCTTTGAAAGAATATTCAAGATTGATCTCTGTAATGGCTGAAATATTTGTCAGTTTGCCAGTCCGCTAAATTCTCAAAACTCCATGGGATCACCATAGTTCAGAATAATCTAACTAGCTTTTCTTTTCTTTTTTTATTTGTACAAGGTTCGTAGCTCACAACCATACACTGCCATGGGAAAGACCAGGGTGTTTAAGAAGCGAATTTCAGTTTTGAGGCAGACTTGTCTTTTGTAACCTTCAAAATGGCACTCATTGTTCTTTGTTTGCTAATGCTACCCCTCAGTGTTATATTTCTTTCATAGGGTTCTGCAACATGTATTACATACTTCATTGTTTATGTTAGTGTTCTTAGCTTTACGTGCTGTCATAGCTTTAGTACAGCAAAACTTCGTTAACCTGGATTTCACTCGACCGGAGAAAATATCAGAGATAACCAAATTCCAAAATTCTGGATTATCGAATGAACCATCAAAACAAAAGAAAAATGTACTCGGCACAGACAAACCTTTGCTTCATGAAAAATTGCATAAACTTTTTCTGCCTCATCATCAGAATCAGTGCTAGAATGACCTTCTCCAACCCCATGTGGTGGTGGTGTGCTTGCTCGCTGTCGCAAAAGCTGATGCAGAACTCAGCAAGGGCTTCGGCGGCCTCCTGCACGGTGGGATGTGTCGGCTTGTCTTGAATGTCATCATCGGAACAGTGATTTTAATCCTCTTCTAGCATTTCTGATAATGTCATCATCTGTCAGCAAACCAGCAACGGCCACACCATCATCAATGCGCATCAACACAGCTGGACAGCCCTGCCGCGGTGGTCTAGTGGCTAAGGTACTCGGCTGCTGACCCGCAGGTCGCGGGTTCGAATCCCGGCTGCAGCGGCTGCATTTCCGATGGAGGCGGAAATGTTGTAGGCCCGTGTGCTCAGATTTGGGTGCACGTTAAAGAACCCCAGGTGGTCGAAATTTCCGGAGCCCTCCACTACGGCGTCTATCATAATCATATGGTGGTTTTGAGACGTTAAACCCCACATATCAATCAGACACAGCTCGACAACGTAATGACGGTTTCAATGTCAAAGCGCCAACTCGCCCAACAGTCAACTCTTTTGATCTACCCGAGCTGCACACGCTATGCACAAAATCACAACGCAAAGAAATCGGCAGCGTAGGTGGGACGGGCAACTGGAGTAGCAGCGGCTGCGCAAATTGTCTCGTCGGCCGCGCATGCGGCGCCATTTGCAGCGCATTTCGCAGACACTGGATGTACCAGCAGCCCAAGTGCTTCTGCCAGGTCCACCTTGCCACTTCCTTCTTCATTCGCTATCATCATGATCATAGTATACTGCTGTTCATTCGGTTTTGGTTTCTCCAAAACTTTGTTTCTGCCGTCGGTTACGGTGGCGAAGCCGGGACTGCATGCTTTCAGTAACCGGAATCGGTTACTGGAAGCATGGAGCCTGATAGCCCTCTCTGGAATCGTCTGGGTTAACTGGTGCGCTTCTAAATCCCTCTGAATTAACGAGCATTTGACACCATTGATATATACACAGTTTTGCTGGGACCGCGCCGCGTGTCCGAGTCAACCGAATTTTCAAGTTAACGAGATCCAGATTATGAACATGATAGTATTGAAGAGCTCGTTTTGCAGAAATTGGGATATGGAGGGGGGGGGGGGGGCTGTAGCCTTTGATTGCTAGGGCAAAAGCAGTGTTAGCCGTGAGTGAAAATTCAAGGTAGATGCAAATAAATATATGAGCCTGAGGGTGTTTGCTCTTAGGCTTTCTTGGCGGTACAGTTAAGGTCTCCATTGAGAAGGCAGGCTAGTGATTGAGGAGGTGATAGTGTGTGTGTGTGTGTTTGTGTGAGTGCATGCAGATGTGGCTATCACATTCAACTGTTAAAGGTAAGCTTAAGGGTCCCCTATTTTTTTTTCCTATGTTTGGAAAGAGACCAAACAGTCTTCCCTCTTCTTCCTTTTATCTTTACAATCAGTTTTTCAGTCTGGTATGATTTCTGCTGCTAGTGTTGTGTTGTCTGCATATCATAAATTGGTTAAGTTTGGGTTAAGTTTGTTTCAACAGTTTATACTGCAATATCCCAGATTTCGAAATAGCAGTATCTGAGTAAATGTTTGTATGATAAATTAGTGTGGCAAAAAATGATAGCCCTACCTGACTCATATTTAAACCTTGAAACCAATCGGTGTTACTAACATTAATCTCAATGAGAACTTGTCCTGTTTATGGCTTCTTCAGTTTAAATATAAGGTGTTCAGGAATATGTTCTCAATTTCCCTTCATACACCCAAAGCCCGTCGCGATAAATGGAGTCAAAAGCTTTGCTGTAAGTGATAAGACAAAAATACATACGCTTTTGTACTCTTTACGTATGTCTATCAGCCATCCCATATTTGCAGTGTGGCCAGTGGTATTGAGCACTTTTCTCAAACCTGCTTGCTCAGTCACCATCTTTTTCTCTATTAATGTATGGTTTTAGCCTATTCTGTAATATACTTTGTTTAGTACTTTACTAATATGAGAGATTATGGTCACTGCTCTACATTTTAAGTATTTTTTTCATGTCACCTTTATCTGCTATCTTTCATAGTTTTTTAAACAGTTTAGCAATGACCTTCACTAATTCTGGTCTGAATGCCCTGACGAGTGGTCCACTTGTTCTAATAGGGGTTTTCTGTGTAGCCCATGTTAATTCATCTCCTGTGACTGTTGTTTCTTATTCATACTCGGATGTCTACTCTAGGCCTTCTCTCGGCATCATTTTTCCTGAATAGATCTGTCAATTCCTTTCGTCATTTATTTGTCTTCTTAACACAACGAAAGATGCTTTCTTTCCCTTTCTGTTAATGATTACATTAGGTTTGTGTTGTAAAGTTCCTTTCATTTCTTTACATTCCAGGGTTTTCCATACCCTGCCTCGTAATAAAGTTGTGGTTCTGGGATGTTTAATTTAATTTTCCTCTGAAGTAACCAAGTGCTGGCTGTTGTACACAACAGTGCATAGAAACTGAGAAGCTGCAGCCAGCTTTATCCGTACAGTGTGGAAGATTCATACTATCTTTCTGCATACACAGACAAGCAGCTGTTATCAGTGTGTGTTGTTGTTCATGTACTTGCCTTCTGAGCCTGATAAGTGTCTTTTTTGTCGCATGTGAACCGGCTCCTTGGGCCAGCAGCCCCCATCATGCCTGCAGCCCCACACATGGCCTTGTACCAAGCGCAGAGTCAGCTTGCAGTGAGTTCATAGTGTTGCACAAATATCATGTGTTGTATTACACCATAATCACAATGACTCAAGTAATTCAGATGATTTATAATTGTTGTTAGTTCAAACAGAAAATAGGTATTTTGTTTGTCTCTGTTGATGGAGCAAAAGTACAGCATAGGTTTCAAGACGACCCATTACTTGAATGTAACTTGACGAATGTAACGCAAAAAATGACTTGCAGTCATGCAGAGTTTTCAATAAAGCAGCAATGGGATGGGAAATGAGCGAAAAAATAACTGCTTTTATACAAGGAACCACAGTTCGAAAATAATCGTTTATCATTGCCATCCAAGCTTTTCTTGTGAGGTATCGTCCTGCACTTGCTCGTGAAGATACTTCCACCTTAAAGGGGTCCTGAAACACTTTTTTGAGTAACCACGGAATTAATTCACTGGAAAAATGTATTATCCCACAAATTCAACGCCGCAAAAATTTTAAGAATCCGCCCAGTACGAGCGAAGTTGCTAAGATTTGTCACAATCTGCAATCGCATTCTCTCTTCTCTCGTCCAGACGAAAGCGCTGGAAGCTAAGTAGGGAGGGATGGCAGGGCCACAGAAAAACTCCACATGCACCTCGTGGCCTTGAGCACTTTTTTTTCTTCGAACGCGCCGCCTTTTCTATGTAATCGCGCGCGCACGCATGGACAAGTCGCGGCCTCTCGCGACGATCTCTGTAACGAGCGAGCGCGTCATGTTCAAATCAGCCAATGGCTGATAGATGGGTAATTCACTCGTGATTTTTGGGCATACCGTAATTACTCGAATCTAACGCGCACCTTTTTTCCTGTTAAGCGAGTTCATAAATCGCATGAGCGTTAGAATCGAGTACGAACAAAAAAATTACGGTCAATCTATTGCCATCGGCAAATCCAAAATGTCCGCCCCCTGCGTGCGTCGGCATGGTGCGTCGGCCATTTCTGCCTATGTGTTTCCCATGTGCGGCACTTCGTACATGTGCTGAGGAGTTCGTCATCTAGTAGTGCATTAGCATCGACGGCGTGGAAGGGCCGACTCCAAAAACCCGAGTGCACCACGATGACGCTTTTAAAAGAAAAGTCATCGCGTGTGCAGAAACGGACGGAAATCGGGCCGCATCGCGGTCGTTCGGAGTTCCCGAAACGTCCGTGCGGGACCGGCGGAAACAAAAGCAGAAGATTGTCGACAGCAAAGCTTCACGCAAAGGCTTCAGTGGACCACAGCAGGGTCGGTTTCCGCAAATTAAAGAGCTGCTCGGCGAGTATGTGCTTGAGCAGCGAGCGGCACAGCGGCCCGTGACGACAGAACTGCTCCAAGTGCGGGCTATGCAATTAGTCTTAGAAAAAGGTCTAATGCGGAGCCAGTTTAAAGCGAGCAGGTGCTGGCTAACTAACTTTATGAAGAGGAAAGGCTTTCCCTTCCGAAGGGGAACATGCATATGCGAAAACTTTTGCGGAGGAGTACGATGAAAAGCTTCACAGTTTTCAGAGATTCGTCCTAAACTTGCGGCGCAACAATGGCTACCTGCTTGGGCAAATCGGGAATGCCAATCAGACGCCTCTTTACTTCGACATGCCTGGCACCACAACCATCGAGAAGAAGGAGGCGAAGCAAGTTCGCGTGCTGACATCGGTCCACGGTAAAACAACAGTGATGGCAATGCTCTCTTACACGTCAGATGGGCACAAGCTTCGCCCGTACCTCATATATAAATGCAAGACGCTCCCGAAAGGAGACGTTTTTTCGAGTGGTGTGATCGTGCGGGCCAGCGAGAAAAATGGGTGCGCGTTGCAATCGATGTCTTACATTTTTTTTCTTTTCGTGGTGGAAATCGGGTGCGCGTTACAATCGAGGGCGCGGTAGAATCGAGTAAATACGGTATTTGCCATTTGTCGAGAGAAGAAAAAGCTATTTTTAGCTGGCTTTGATAATTTATTGTGAATTCCAGTCCATGTGCTGCGCTCTAATATTTGGCTCGCTTGTTGTCGGGAGCCTCTACTATCGATCGGCAGCGTTTTCTGACCATGCACAAAAAAAGTTGCAGGGTCCCTTTAATGAAATCTTGCACGACTCTGGAGTAAATGCGTCTGTGACAGTGTTTTTAGTGCTGTGCCAGGCTCACTTCCTTTACACAGTTCCGAGAGCACTGTCAGCCAAATTCCATGATGGACTGAGTCTCACAGCAGCTAAACTACATAAGAAATTGATCAGCTGGCAGTGAAGTGACGCTCAGTGCTGCAAGAACTCATTTTAAATTAGGCACTCTTGAAAACCTCGCCATCATTTCATTGAGAGTTGTGTTACGCTTTCATTATCGTATTTTCTCGCATATAACCCCCACCAAAAATTGAAAAAAATCTCCTGGAAAGTGGGGGTGCAGGTTATCTGCGATTAATCCGGATACACAGGTCGGCTTCACGGCAATCTTTGGCCTCCCATGCAGTCCGCATCCCCATCGGCATCATCTGGTGCAAAGCCAATAAAAGCCAACACAGGCCATAGACAGATTCCCTCCATAGCGTGTGTATTCCCTTTTTGCATGCTTTGTTTGATTTAATCAACAGTGCCACATTAGCGATTTGACAGCATCTTTTTTTTGAGTCAGATGTGGCCAGTTTGCACAGTTGGTTAGCATTATGAGTGGGTCTCGGCGGCAATCTTTCACTGTGAAAGAATAACTCAAGATTATAGATGCTGCAGAAGAAATTGGCAACAGAGCTGGTGCGAGGAGTCACAACGGCGACGAGTCCTGCATTCGCGACTCGTGAAAAAAAAAAGACCTTTGTTTAAAGTGCACACAAAGAGAAAGAAGCATTTCGTGGCCCGAAGACAGGTGCGTACCCTCTTCTTGAGACGCAGCTTGTCAAATTTATTGAGGAGCGGAGGAGTCGCGGTCACACTTTGTGAATGAGATGAATATCTCACGCGAGTTTCGTGTGAGCCGTTGATGGCTCCTGCGATTCGTGGCCAGGCACGGATTTTCGATGCGGCGGCGAACGACTATGTGCCAGCGACTTCCCAACGCCTACAAGGATAAGCTGTTGAGATATGAACGTTACGTCATCGGGCTACAGAAGGAGCACAACTACTTGCTCTTCCAGGTTGAAAATGCTGATCAAAGGCCTGTGTACTTCCAGATGCCCATGGACATCACTCTGTAGGAAAAAGGCTCGATATCTGTAAGCGTAGTGACGGGCAAAAACGCCAGACTACACTGCACAGTTATGTTGTGCGCTTTGGCAGACGGTACCAAACTGCACCCGTACATAATCTTCAAGCACAAAACGCTACCCAGCACTCCACTGCCACCAAGGATTGTTGTGCGAACCGAAGATAACGCATGGATGAATGGTGACTTAGTCTGTGACTGGCTTCGCACAATCTGGGAGAAGAGACTGGGCGCCATGTTAGCACAGCGATCGATGCTGGTGTTGGACTCGTTTCGAGGCCACTGCACTGACGCAGTGAAAGCACGCCTCACCCACCCCCACACTGACCTCGTGATCATACCCGGTGGCATGACTTCCATGCTACAGCCACTGTACGTCTGCCTCAATGAGCCGTTCAAGGCACATGTGAAGCGACTGTATGCCGAATGAATTGCCGAGGACTGTTGCGCCCTGACGCCGACTGGGCGCTTGCGGAGGTCAGACATTGTGCTGCTGTGCCAGCGGATAGTGGATGCGTGGGGGACAATTCCGGCCGACATGGTGCGCAAGCGATTCAAAAAGTGCGGCATCAGCATTTGCTTGGATGGCACCGAAAACGGTTGCGTCTTCGAGAGCGGCGATGAAGCCTCGGTTGGCAGCAGCTACAGCGGCGAGTCGTGCAATAATTGACGGGACAGGAATAGGCGCCGTCAACGTTGCAGCGATGGCTTCGAAATAAAGTTCTTTTGTAAAGGAGATTCTGATGTGCTGGGCAGTTCTGACTTCTCAAAACAGTTTTTTTTTAAGCTAAGCATGCGGGTTATATGCAAAATTTTTTTTTTTTTCGTTTTTTTGGGGAGTTCAAAGTTAGGGGTACAGGTTATTTGCGAGGACTGGTTATGTGCGAGAAAATGCGGTATTTTAGTGAGCTTGTCTCATTAGCTTTCTCTTTAAACTGGTCATGCCCCATGCAATTCATTGCTATTTGATATTTTCGTTGCCCTGCAGTTAGGATGAAACCATGCATCCTGCAATCAAAATCTGTGCTTGCACAGCTAGTAATAATGCCTTATGCAAAAGCACTAGGTAGCTAAGACTACTAAACAATGCTCCTCTCCTCGGCCACTGCATTTGTAGCTCAATTGCTATTCAGAAGGATAAGTTGATGGAAATTCCATCATTAGTAGGATACGAGATATCATTGGCTATTGATAGGTCACGGAAATTAAGTGGCACAGGGACATTGCCTAAAAAATATCAAAGGCTTACCATTATGATCTTGAGGCTTTACATGCAGGTAACCACGCAATGCTTTGCGAGGCATGTTTTTAATTTTTTTTTTTAAGCGAGAAAAGGGTTTTTATACTAGTTAATGGGGTATGCCCAGTTCCTGCTAGGCCCTGGTTATCTTGCCTGAACACAGAAGTACATGTTAGTATGTGCCTCATTCTGTACAGAGAAGCCTCAATGTGGTAGACTGAAGTAGAATTAACGATTCACTCTGGTATATCATAACTTGCTTTTTGTATATGAATAAAGCAAAAGTTTTATTGAAATTGTAATTACAGAGGTGACACACAAATGCTCTTGATTAAAATCAATGGGGCAGTAAGAAAAAAAAACTTAAAAGAACCATCTCTCTGTCATAGGAATCGGTATAATGCTAAAGTAAAACGTGTCTTCATAAAAGTAGTGCTTATTGTGTAAGGATATATGCAATCTTGGGTGATTTCTCTCGTTGTTTGGCAGCTGTAGCTTTTTGATGTGCCTGCACCTATGTTGATGCCTAGTGGCACATATCCATCACAATGACTAACGATCATGCTATGGACCTCCGCCTC